TGCGATGCTGCAGCTAGTAAAACGACCAAAATGCTGGCTTGCATCCATAGATGCTTCTCAAGCAAATCCCGGGACATCATTCTCCCCTTGTACTCGGCCTTAGTGAGGCCGCAGCTGGAGTACTGCGTCCAGTTTTGGGCTCCAGAATTCAAAAAGGATGTGGAGAAGCTTGAGAGAGTCCAGAGAAGAGCCACACACATGATCAGAGGTCAGGGGAGCAGACCCTACGATGACAGGCTGAGAGCCATGGGGCTCTTTAGCCTGGAAAAGCGCAGGCTCAGGGGTGATCTGATGGCTGCCTATAAGTTTATCAGGGGTGACCACCAGTATCTGGGGGAACGTTTGTTCACCAGAGCGCCCCAAGGGATGACGTCTAGGTCGAACTGTCATAAACTACTACAAGACCGTTTCAGGCTGGACATAAGGAAGAATTTCTTTACTGTCCGAGCCCCCAAGGTCTGGAGCAGCCTGCCACCGGAGGTGTTTCAAGCGCCTACCTTGAACACATTTAAGAGCAAACTGGATGCTTATCTTGCTGGGATCCTATGACCCCAGCTGACTTCCTGCCGTTTGGGCAGTGGGCTGGACTTGATGATCTTCCGGGGTCCCTTCCAGCCCTAATGTCTATGAAATCTATGAACTTCCATGATTAAACTACAACTAAATTATCTAAGTTAGTGTTGATTTTCAGAGATGAGCATGAACCAAACCTCATTTCCCAGTTAGAAATGCCCTCATTTGTGTTACCAAGCCAAGCATGTTATGCTAGTCAATACTTAAATTTTATAAGGTTCTTATCTCAGAGTTATGGTTAAAAGAAGGTTTCATCAATAAGCACTTGAGTAAGAAGATACTTGGCAGGGAGAATCTCCGAAGGGTCTCATGCATTGCACCCATGAGACTAGAAGCACATTCATGTTGGCCTTGCTATGTTAATGTGTTTCTTGAACATGTATATGAGAAGATCATAAATAACAATAGAGGGAAGACAGATAAGAGTGTGTGTGTGAAAGAAGTAGGCAAGAGAAAATGTGAAATGCAGGAGGAGAAAGTGGAAAGGGACTGAAAGAAGGTAAAGTAGCAGGTGAAGGGCAAGAAGAAGCAATAGGCCATGAATGAGTTGGGAAAGACAAGAAGTGAAAATTGCAAAAAGTGATAAAGTGGATGAAAGGAAAGCAAAAGGAAAAGAAGTAAACAAAAGGGTTTTAAGAGTAAAAATAAGTGTGAGGGAGGAAAAGGAAGTAGGGAGATAGTTACATGAATGCTTCCCCATTGTATCTATGTCCTGCTTCTTGCAACAGTTGCTCATTATTGGCTAGACAGTCTCTCACTCAGATTTTATTTCAAGTATTTTATTAAATGGGCCAAGAGCACCTGCGTTTCCACAGTGCCACCTGTTCTTCCCCCCCTACCAAAGATTAGGCCTGCTGAAAACAGACAAAAAAGGACACTTACAAGAGCTGAGTCAGTTTTGAAAACACTTCAGCTAGCATTTAAATCCAGAAGAGCAGGGCACATTTTAGGTAATAGCATGTATCATGTTACATAAAGGTTGCTAAACCAACTACTATCTTTGAGAACATCCCTGCTAAATTGTGTACAAAATGCCTGTTGGCATCTGTGGGAACTGCGTGCACGCTTTCATTTGGATAACATGGCCTGTTATTGTGGCATATTAATGGTAGCTCAGCTGCTGTTTGGATCTCTTTTTTATCAGATGAAACTTTAATACTTTAAAGCCAACATGATGTGCTAATGAAGGACCACCAATATGTTTCCTTACACAGGATACAGTCAAGAAGAGGATGGGGGCTGGTCTTCATTTGTAAGTATTATTATTTTCATACACTTAACCCACAAAAGCAGATCCTGTGGTCTAAATTTTATCATAAGTTCTATCATTTACTGCCTCTCCCTCCCCTCCTTCCCAGCAGAAGTAGAAACAAAGGAAAATTCTGAGGTTGTTTGGGGACAGGGAGGGGAGAACAGAAGGCAGAGAGGACTGGAGCTGTTTTATGCCTAATACTCTGACATCAGCAATGAAAAACACAAAAAAAACCCGCAAAAAAGCTTTGTGATTGTAGCACTAATTCTAGGTTCAGTTTGGATCAAGAGATCACAGCCTGCGCTTTGCTCAGATGGATTTATAGCCATATTTTATAGTTATATTTCACTCCTTTGGAAACAATGATTAGTAAAGAAAGTGTGGCTTTGTAGCTTAAACGAAAAAAAAAAATGTTGCCATTCTGGCCATTATGATCTGCATCTTTAGAAGTCGAAGGAAACATTTTCCAGCTGAAAACATTGCCACCATTACATGCTTCTCTTCATGTACAAAAGTGAGTCACTGTCTCTATCATAAATCATTTGTATCTGTTCTCTCCATTTTTTGTTCCCCATCATGGAAAAAAACATCTAGACTGAAATTATGCATTTAACCTTCTTTTTGTATGGAAAATGTAACAGGAAGATAACAGGAAGAAACCTCAGTTGGTTGGCTGAATATAAACAAATTGAGAAACATACACTCTTACTTTGTGCAATACTGACTAGCCCTGGAGCCAGCACCAGTGTTTTGAGACATTATGACACAGCTTTAAAAATGTTCAGTGCTGATGCAATTCTCTCCCTTGAAACAAGTGGCAGTTTTACCACTGCCTTCAGGAGAGTCAAAGGTTGGTCAATGCTGAGCATTTTTGCAACTCCCACTCTAGAAGCTTGTCAGAAGCTTAATATCATGGCCTTTTTATATCAGTAACAAGTTACACTGACTCTGATATAGCTAGAGTCACGTCACCATGGGCTGAAATTCTGTTATAAGTTACAGAATATACAAATTAGTCTGGGTTAATACGGGGCTATAAGACTCCAAACAAAATCCTAGGTGCTTTAGGAAACGATGTTAACAAGATGAACAGCCTACTGATCATGCCACCACTGAATGAATGCCTCAACTTGCTCCCAAGAGGTACTATTACTTTCAAATACCACCATTTGGATGAGATGTAAAAGTGAGGTCCTATACCTGTACCGTTTTATGCCATTCTTTCTAAGAATTAAAATATTAATCTATGTGATTCCAATGCTAAGGTGGTGGAAATTGTATAAGAACATAGGAAAGAAAAATTCAAATGGGTAACTTTTCTATCTCAAACTTCAGCTAATGCTGCTATTGTGAAAAGATACCACAGTTTAAGACAAAAAGCGTTATATGCTTTTTGTAAATAATTACCACTGGCTAATTCCACCAGTGCATCCCACCACTGCATTTCAGTAAAGAATCAAATCGTTCCTGTGTGATTTGGTATCTTCTACGGCAGTGGTTCCCAACTTTTTTATATTGCAGCCTGGCACAGGAATGGGACAGGCTGCATGGAGTTGGTTGTCTCCCACCCAGGGCTGCACTGCTGCCCAACTTTAACCCCACATGTGACTGTTGGCAACAGAAGCTGCTTGCCCAGGTGGACAGATGGGTGTCCGAGCAGGGGTGGGGCATGCCATGACCCAGCAGCCAACCCTTCACAGCCTGGTACCAGGCTGCAGCCTGGTGCTTGGGAACCTTTGTTCTATGGTGAAGGGCAACACCTTATAGAGATTTTTATTAAGCCATGCAGTATCCAGTGGTTACATCAGGTTTTCACTCACATATGACAGGATGAAGAAGAAGATGACTATGAGAGCCCAGATAATGAAAATGAACAGGATGATGGAGCTGACTATGAGTCTCCAAGTGAAGAACCAGGTGAAGCAGGACCTGATAGTGATGATTATGAACCTCCTCCGTCCAATGATGCAGCACACCATAATGTAATATTTCCTGCCAAATCAATTCCAAGCAACACCGACTATATAGGTAAGTAAAACAAAGTGCGATTATGTAAGTGACTGGATGTCTTATGGGGTTGGTAATGGGATTTATAGGGTATCATCTCACAAGCAACAATACAACTCATGCCAACATTTGTAACAACACTGACTTACTAGAACCTGATGGTTGTCTGGCCTAATGGACTGCTTACAGACATTAAAAAAAACCCCCAAATGCTGCTTTATTTGAAACTCCACGTGCCCCATACTGAGTCCAGTGCATGCCCAGAAGAGGCATTGTGTTAGTTGAACCCAGCTCACCCAGTGACTGTATAGATCAGGCACTCTAGTGTGGGGTTTTGGTGCTTTTATCTAATAGATGACTGAATCAGCTTTAGATAAAAGCACCAAAAAGCCCTGCTGAAGTGCTTGATCTATAAAGCTGCTGCAGAGCCAGGTCAAACTAAAGCTCTGCTTCTTCCAGTCAAGCCCTTTTTTTTAATGTCTGTAAGCAGCCATGAAGCTTAGCTCACCATTTCAGCCAATGTCCATGCATGTAATTGGGAAGGTTAACAAATACTGTGCATGTCACAAAACTCACCATGCTTCCAGCTGGCAGTCATAGAAGACAGCCCAAAGAGTGATCAAAGATTAAAAGTGAAACATCCTCTTATTCCTGATCTCAGTGGTGTGCTATATGGGTACAGTGTTCAGCAGCATCACCTATGCACATAAGTACTTTCACTGAATACGCATATACAGTAAAATGTCAGGTAAGCAACATGTAACAATTAGTTTGGAACCTGCATAGAATTAAACACACTTACTTTCTTTACTTGTTTTGGTATTTAACTCCTGGATAGTTAGTTATAACAAAAGAGTTGTAAGCATCCACTGAAAACAGGTCTAAGTGGAATCACTTTTCTGCAGTTATAATTTCTTGGAGCTGATTCTCCATTGACCCACAACTTATTTATATCCCTGCAAAACACTTCTGTTTGGACTGAGTAGTACATGTGCATGGTAGAAAATTGGGCTTAACATTTTTATCCATCAGGACTGAAGAGGACTTGGTAAATAAAGCAACCATATATTTAGTTTACAGTACATTAAGAGAAAACATGAGAGTTTATATGAGGCCTCTTTTTTTATAAGACTGAGTAGCAGATACATGAAATAACCCTTTTGTGTAGTTGTTTAGTTTATATATTTTTCTTTTTAGATAGACCTACGACAGCTAGATCATCTCTCCAGCCTCCTATTCCACCACAACGCCCTGGTTCATCTCCCACACCATCACCCTATGGAGGAAGAGGGTTTCCTGTATGTTTCTTTTCCTTTTATTAGCTCCCTTACTCAGCACCTCATATAAGGTCCAGGTATATTATCATATCCAACATGAAAACTTATGCACTTAATTTCTATAAAAATTATGTTTTTTGTGAGAAAAATCAGAACTGGTTGCCAGTAGAGCTTTGCCATTTACATTGTGAGAATTTTGTCAGTTCTCAAGAAAACTTCAGCCTTGAATAGATTCTTCTGGATTACCCCAGTAGCAGATTTGCAGGCCCAACCCTATATACTCTTATTCAAATCCCAGGGAATTCCATGGGACTAAATAGCGGTATAAGTGTTTCTAAATTCTGGTCCTTAATGATATTCAAGAAGTGAGAATTGAACTGATCTGCAAAGAAGCAGGCAAAGATAAGAAAGATGTGAGAGGTAACAGTCCCTTCATTGCTTTTCCTCTGCTGAAGACTGGACAATTTTCTCATATTGTTCAAATCCACTAACAGCCATTGCAGTAACAGAACTTTTGACACCATTTTTTTCTGCATAAATCTGGCCGTGCAGTATCTCAGTATTCTAGCCCAAGTGTAAATGAAAGCCACAATGGACACAAGTTAATTACTAAACATGGAAGCTCCTAACAAGTGGTATGAATTGTCAAGACTTCTGTTCTATACCTCTGCTGTATTGCTTGAAATCCATATAAAACTGGGGCACAGAATAGGTGTCTGAAGATACCCAAGCTTAATTGCAAGCATTTTCATCCTTTCTGAGGCAAGTGGAAACACACTTTTATCTTTGGTCTCAGTCCTCCCAATAAGAAGGAATAACTTGGTAGATCAACTTCCACAAGCTCCCTCAATGTCCTATAGATTCCTATGCCCCCTCTAGGCTGCTTAGTAGGGGTGTGCAAAACAGGCTGTCTTCAATTCAGATTTGGATTCTACCTGAATCGGGGCAGTGATTTGATTCATTGATTCAGATCACTGTCCCCCATTTGATTTGGCTGAATCTGAAGATTCGGACATAGACACAGCTTTAAACATTTTTTCTACATACCTTGAGGTACTAGGTACGGCTCATTAACGCTGCGATGGTGGGGTGGATGGAGCATGGAGAGAGGGAGGGGGGCAGCGCGTTTGGCAGCAGACCCAGAAGTGGACTGGAAGTGCTTCAGGTCTGCTGCCAAGCATGCCGGGGACCCTCCCATGCTCCTGTGGGACATCATCTGCCCCAGAATCTAAGCATTCATAAGCCACCTGGTACCTTGAGGTATGTATAAAAAACATTTAAAACTGTGTCTATGTCCAAATCGTTGAATATTTCAAATCTCTCTGAATCATTTCAGAGGGTTCTGATTCGATTTGGAGAGATTTAAGTGTCTCCTGACTCAATTTGGATTTGGAGATTTGGCCACTGAAACAGGCCAAATCTCCTCCGAATTGAATCAGTGACTGAAGCTTGACACATCCCTACTGCTTAGCCCTCCTGGCCCTGCATTTCTCTCCTCAAAATTCTATTACCAGAAATACAAAGTGTACTGTCTATCATATACCCCAGCTGCATTAAGGCCAAAATTGCAAGATGTAAGACCATTCTCTCTGTTCTTCCCTACTGCCCCTGGCTTGCTCACGCCTATCTTTGAAGGTACCTTGTACTGTGTTTTCTGCATCCAGCACATAGATAGATGTACAGCTGCCAAAAAGGATAACCTTCTGCAGCAGAGCACAAAGGGCCTTTAGATCCTAAAGGACACAAAGGCTGACAGCTGTGATGTGGTGGGTTTGAGAATGACTTATACATAGAATGGGAATGCTGAGACTAACTTTAACCATTCATAAAACAATTTATTTTAGCTGCCATCTTTCCCTCCTCCATCAAGCAATAACGATGTGACTAGAGATAGAAGCACCAAACCTTTAAAACGTAAGTGCAAGCTTGTCTCAGGTTAAGCTATGGCCTAGCACACATTTAAACTGTCTCCAGCTATAGCAATATTAGTAGTTCTTTCTACCTGCTAATCTGCCATGGATTGTATATCCCATTCTGAAAAAATATACAATTTAATCTCTGCCTGCCTCCTGGTTATTCTTTCCAGTATTTTTTAACTACATTATTGTATTGTTTAATTTGAAGAAGGGAAATCAGTACACAATAGATATGGTATATACTTTATTCTGTATGGCATTTATGCATTAGTTTTACACAATATTTTTATTTAGCCCCAGCCCCTTCTATAGACAGAAGCACAAAACCCCCACTGGATCGTCCTGGGCCACCATATGAAAGAGAGAGCCCAGTACCAGGTCAGTATTTTATTACCATCATATCAACTGCTGATGTTTGTTGCTCAATTTTGTCAATTTAAGTTTTATTAGTAGAAGTTTTTTTTCCCACGGAACATGTTTTAATATGCCATATTTGCATACCCCACACACCATTTTTCCTAAAAATTAGCCTTCCAAAATCCAAGACAGTTCATGTCTTAAGAAAGAAACTGATTTTTCTGCTCTGATTCAAAGCACCCCTCAAAAAATGCCAGGTCTTAGCACTTGTTTTTTGACTATGGAAAAACAGAGCAATTTTTCTGTTGCAAAAAACTCAGAGAGACCTTGACAGGTCAGAATGCTTTTGATAATATGGATTCCTATTTGAAATCTCTGGGTTTAATCTTGTGAATACACCTTAAAAGGATCTTGTGGCACCCTTATTGAGAATCGTTGGTATAAGAAAAGAGAGAAGATAATACAGCATTGTTACTACTACTTCTGTGATGTGATATACTATATCCGGGTTTGCTGTCTGTATTTAAAAGAATGTTGAGAAATTTAAGAGAATTCAGAAGGGAGTTATAAAACTTATTTGGGGACAAGAAAATAAATGACTATTGTAGACATAAAATGTGATGCCATTACATTTTTTAAGAAAAGGCTAATATTAATGGCTCCTTAATCTATCAATTAATGGCATGAAAGAGCCAATAACAACGCTGAAGATAAAAGAAAATAATTTGAAAATGAGATGCAACTTTATATACCAGGTGAGAAATTATTCATTGTAATAACTTCATAAGACTGTCATGATTCAGAGCCCAAGTATCTTTTCCTGCACTTGCATCTTTGGGGACTTGGGTCTTTGAATCCATTAAATTCACTGTGCAAACAAGATAGTCAAAGACTGACCTTATGAGCCTCCACTGTTTTAGAAACCTTTATATTGATTACCTTAAGTTTGTTTTTAGAAAAAAAATATTTATTCTTTTCAGGAAAGAGGCCACCATTTCCTGAAAAGGTAAGAGGACTTCTGGTTGGTACTTATTAGTACATTTCAACCCCATTGAAACATACTTATGTGTTCTTTTAACTTTTCCTTACTGTTTTTTACAGTCTCTGACACCAAATCTAAGGTAAGAATTTATGCTACAGGTTACATACATAAATGCATTATGGGGGTTACCAAATGATACTATATTAAATAATGTCTGATCTCACAACATACCTCTCATATTATAGATCTCTGGGGGAGCAGTTAGCAAAGATACAAAAACCTCCTATACCACCAACTGAGAGATATGAAAGAGGTCACCCAACCCCTGGAAGGAAGTTACCACCCATAAGGTAAGAATAATTTTTTTTTATGTTAAATTCAAATACGAACAACAACAACAAAAATGAAAATGCTACATAAATTAATGTAATGAATCTCTTCAGAAACACCAATACCTGTAAATGCTGCAGGAGTGCTTATGAGTTGTATTCCTTATTGTAAAAGAAAAAAAAAGCGCCCTGTACTTTAAGGGCCTACTACAAACATGAAAGTGAAGGGCAATGTATCACAGAGAAAGAGGAACATTCTCCATGATGGGCTTCTTGTTAGAAACCTCCGTCTCATGATCCACATTGCCACACGCAAGCCCATATCCCTTTTATAGCATACAGGAGAGAGGAAGGTTTAAACCATTCCCCAGCTCCTCAGTTCTGCTACCCTACAAGTCCCTACATTCATGGCCAGCTTCTAAATAGGGTCTTATGTTTTATTAAGAAAAAATGTGTTCTATTAACTGACCAGCATAATTTAAATACTAGAAATGAAACCATGTGTCCTTATACAAGACTGTCAAACACTACACCACTGGATAAAAGTTCCAAGGGAGCAATATTTTTTCATTGCTCAGATGAATTTAAAGGCCAGATCATGTTTCCAACTCCACTACTGGGAATCAAAGATTGCAGATGCAGTCACCAATGCAGAGCTGCTAGACTATGCCTCAGTCCTATAATAAGCACATCAGAAATGGCCTACTGCATCTGTCCAGAGCTCATTACAGGGTCAGAGCCTTATACCACCTTTGGTTATGATTTCAGATCAAGAACTCAGGTGTCTATCTGAGCAAAAAAAGAAACTAGATTAGAAGTTACACCTGTGTAATTTTGTGTCTGAAAGAATTGATATAATCAGAAGACTCTGCTAAAATTATGGCCATGTGTATAAATAGAGAGAAAGTGAATGATTGATTTTTCCATCCATCTACATTTTTTCTTCTTCTTTTATTTCAATTAAGGCAGGGTTGGGCACCAGAAAAGAAACCTGATGTAAGTATATTTCAAAGTAAATATTTTAATGTAATTGTAATACATATACTTAAATGGCATAAACTCTGTTTAAGACGGGCTATCACTTGTATATATTAAAAACCCCCAAACACTAATAATTCTTTCTTAACATAGGCCTTCATTTTTAGTTGGTTCTTCCAGACAAAGTTCAGTGTATTCACTAGATACACTATCTTAGAAATTAGAGAAGCAAAAATTAAGGCCAATATTAATTTTAAGTCACTACTGGCTTTGCATACCCCTGTTTTGGCTTCTCTAACTTGAGCTGTCTTTTCAAAGAGTGTGAATTCACTGCTTCTGCCCTGGGAACTATGACAGCTTCTACCTGCTGAATATCTTCTCCCTGCATGTTGAGGGTATCTTCTGTTGAACACCTTATGGCTTATGCATTTCAAAAAAATCTTGACCTTTGATTTCCTTTCTTCACAATCAAAACTTCTAAAATAATATGGCATTTCCAAGAGAAATATCAATGTAATGGGTAAAACAGTCAGCTACTTTTGGTTTTCTTACATACTGAAAATGTCACTGACTTCTAATTTTTAGATTTATTAATGGGCAATACAGTTGTGATCTTATGAACTTCTAAACATTTTTTCTTTTTCTACAGGAAGAAGAAGAGAGTAAGTATCTAAAAATATATATTTAATATATCAAGGAATTCTTTGTATTTTGTTTTTAAAATCTCAAATGAATTAACAGATATGTGCATACTTATAAAAATATATTATATCTTGACAAATAACTCAGAAAAAAAATCACAAAAACATTTAATCAGCAGAAGCACAAAACATGAAATTAAGGCAAAAGTTCTTTCAGTTAGCCAATTATAACACTTGTTTCTTATCCTCATTACAACTGAATAACAGTTAATTTAATATATTTTCTTTATAAAAATGTATAGTTTGAATATACAACCTATCATATTTTATTTCTTTATATATTGGGCCAAACCCTGCTTGCATTAGTCACACATGTAGTATTGCTGCCAGAGGGCTCCAGGGTGAGCCCTGGGCTGGAGGCAGCCTCCTGCATCATTGTCTACACATGCATTTAATCTCACTAATTTATTGTGCCATCAGATTGTACTTGTATCTGATGGGACTATCCAATGGTGCAGTAAATTGGTCTACACTGGTCTAATTTCTGCACATGTGTAAAAGATGACACTTTACTGTGCAGTTAATTAGTCTACTGTATAGTAAAGTACACATGTAGATACGTCCTCTATACTGAGGGTAGTGCCAAAAGAGATGTTTAATCCTTCTGTTGAAGCTTACAAAGAAGACGGTGTCAGAAAATAAACATGACTGAAGAATGAAGCTTCAAATCCAATGGTCAACAGTGGCATAACAGATAGAACTGCTTATAGTGCTTTATCTTTGATCTGCATAGAATATACTTTATCCAAAGGACTTCTAAAGTTGGACTATCATTTTTCTAGAGTAGAGCTTCCAAAACTATAATAAAAAACTTTAACATATCGAGATTAGTATATCCCTATTAAGGGCATTTTAATAAACCATTTGCTCCATTAATTGTACCTAATTAAAAAGTCAACTGCAGTTAGGAGGTATTAGTTCAGTAACACTGTCTTTACAAGTTACTGTAAGAGTGTTATATTTAACTTCCTGTTAGGTAGTTTTAACTAGTTTCATTTTTCCTTTCCACAGCAGTACCACAGAGGTCAGTGCCACAGCTATCTTTACCTCCCTACAGTTCCAACACTTTCCCTTCGAGATCTGCCAAACCACCACCTAAACCTAGTCCATCAGGATCCAACAGTATGCCTGGTGCATATGGAGAAAGGTGTGTTTTAATAGTTAGTCTCATTCATTTTGACCTGCTCACTATTTTTGGGCAACAGCAGTAAGTTGGTGCTTTAAAAGACTCAGAAAGACACATCAATGAGTTTATTATTAAAGTTAGATTTTTATATCTGCTCCCTTGACTTGTAGTCTTTCCCAGTAGTGAGGGACCAAGGCATCAGCCCCAGGCTTCCATTTAGAGGGCGCACAAGAATGGCAGCTGCTACTGCTGCCAGCTCAGCCACTGCAGCTGGTCTGTCCTCTGCTGCTGCCACTGCAACCCAGGGCACAAACTCTGAAATTTCCACTATCACACAGAAACCCACAGCATTTTCAGGGTCCCAAATATCCATGAATTTCACTAAAGCAGATAGCATGCATCGGACAGCCTGTGGGATCATTCCGTGTTTTAAAAAAAAAGTGGGTCTTACTTTAGTTTGAATTTGTTAGCTTTCTGGTTATAGAATCATAGAAAATTAGGGTTGGAAGGAACCTCAAGAGGTCATCTAGTCCAACCCCCTGCTCAAAGCAGGACCATCACCAACTAGATCATCCTAGTCAAGGCTTGGTCTAGCTGGGTCTTAAAAACCTCCAAGGATAGAGTCCACAACCTCTCTGAGTAACCTGTTCCAGTGTTCTACTACCCTCCTAGTGAGAAAGATTTTCCTAATATTTAACATAAACTTCTCTTGCTGCAACTTGAAACCATTGCTCCTTGTTCTGTTATCTGCTACCACTGAGAACAGTCTAGTTCCATCCTTTTTAGAGCCACCCTTCAGGTAGTTGAAGGCTATTATTAAATCCCCCTCAGCCTTCTTTTCTTCAGACTAAATAAGCCCAGTTCCCTCAGTCTCTCCTCATAAGTCATGCCCCAGGCCCCTAACCATTTTTGTTGCCCTGCACTGGGCTCTCTCAAATTTGTCCAGATCCTTTCTGTAGTGGGGGACCCAAAACTGAACACAGTGCTCCTGATGTGGCTTCCCCAGTGCCAAATAGAGGGGGAAGAATTGCTTTATTTGATTTGCTGGCAATGGTCCTATTAATGCAGCCCAGTATGCTGCTAGCCTTCTTCACAAGAAGGGCACACTGTTGGCTTCTATTCGGCTTACTCTCCACTCTAACCCTCAGGTTCTTTCTGGCAGAGCTGCTGCTTAGCCAGTTGGTCCCCTATCTGTAGTGGTGCACGGGATTGGTCTGTCCTATGTGCAAGCCTGTGCACTTGTCCTTATTGAACCTCATGAGATTTCTTTTGGTCCAGTCCTCCTACTCCCCTAGCTTGTGTCATCTGTAAACTTGCTGAGGGTGCATACTCTATCCCATCTTCCATGTCATTGATGAAAATATTAAATAAAACTGACCCTAGGACTGACCCTATATTTTAGAGAAGAGTATTTTAGGATCTAACTGTCATGAGCTTCAATTAGGCACTTATTTTAGGATACTTTAGTTGGTAATTGCCTAATTTTAGGCATGTATTTCTCTACACTTCATCTGTCATGCCTGTCTAAATTGTAAACTTTTGGGGAAGGGGCCTGTTCCATATTGTCTGTACACCACCTAGCTCAATGATGTTTGGTCTTAGAAGGGCTTCTAAGATCTCAAAGGGGCTTCTAGACACTACAGTGGAATTTTCAGCTCTCTTAGGCTCACAATTAGAGACAAGTCAGAGCCTCCAAAGGCCAAAAAAAGGGGAAAAAAAAGAATGAAAGAAAAAAAAAGTGCAGTATTACCACATATGCACTAGGACTGTGTGAAGTTTTGGTTGCTGATTTGATTTGGTGGCCAAATCTCTGAATCCAAATTGAATCAGGAGACCTTTCCATCTCTCTGAATTGAATTGGAAGCCTCTGAATTGATTCAGAGAGATTTGATGATTTATACATAGACAACTTTAAATGTTTTTTCTACATACCTCAGGGTACCAGGTGGCTTGTGAATGCTGAGATTCTGGGGGAGATGGAGTGTCCCTTGGGAGCACGAGGCAGCAGACCCCTAAATGGACCAAAAGCACTTCCAGTCCACTTCCTGGTCCACCCACTGGGGAGTGTGTGGGGGACAAACTCAGTGACTGGTGCTTCCTGGGTATTGGGAGCACCTGGGGTCCCTCCACAGCCAATCGCTAAGCCAGAGGGGTGCAGGGAGGGGGGGTGGCCCTGCGCACTCAGCAGCACAGAGTACTTTCAGTCCACTTCCAGGTCCACCTCTCAGCATGTGGGAGACCTCCTGTGCTTCTGTGAGATGCTTCATCTGCCCCACCGTCTCAGTGTCCATGAGCCATGCCTGATACCTTGAGGCATGTAAAAACACATTTAAATATGTGTCTATGGCTGAATCACTGATTCTCTGAATCAGCATCAAATCTTCAGATTTGGATTTGGCCAAATCAAATTGAGACAGTGATCCAAATCAACTACTTAAATCACTGTTCCTGATTTGGGTCAAATCCAAATCGAATACAGCCTGTTTTGCACACCCCTAATATGCACCTCAGATATATATAGTTGGATCCCCCAAATTTAAGCTTTGGAAAAATAAAAGGAGCCTAAACTATGGTAAAAAGTGTTTTAAATTCATAGAGTAAGATAGAAAGGGGCCCTTGTGATCACCAAGCCTTACCTCCTGTATTACATGGGACAGGAGGCCACAGGATTCCCATCAATTAATCCATCTCCAAACTAGGGATTGGCTTTTGAAAAGCATCCAAAGATAATTTAAAATTTTCTAGCGATGGAGAATCCACTCTGACATTTGACAAGTTCTCCCAAGGGCTAATATCATTCATTGTTATAAAAAAGTTGATCTTACTTTAGTTTGAATTTGTTAGCTTCAGGATATGGAACTTTTTGTACTTTGGTCTGCTGGACTGATAATCCTGCTGTTGAATTTATTTTCCACATATAGAGTGCAAACAAGTCAATCCTTAATCTATTTCTGATAAACTAGACAGATTGTGCTCCAAGAGCCTTTCACCATAATCCAGGTCTTCCAATCCTATAATGATTTTTATAGCTCTTGTCTACTCCCTCTCCTATTTATCAGCATTGATCTGGAAGTATAGACATCAAAACTGGATTCAATATTACAGAGGTAGTTGCAAGACTGTCAAATACAGAGGTAATATTACCTACTTCCAAACTCAGTCTTCTTACAGACCTAGTACCAATGGATAAGGAAAAGGAATAAAGGAAAGTGAACAGCACTACAACTCCTATTTCAGGACCACTAGAGTCAAAACCCAGGTTCCCTGCCATGCTGATATCTTTGCTGTGTTTTTAGGCTATGCCTTCTATCACATCTGAATGACTAATCCCTAGGGGAGAAACAGGGTGCATAATTACCTTGCTGATTTTCATAGGGGGTAGAGCGGGCCATCCTCATCTTTCATGGGTCCTTAAAGAAAAAAAAAGGATTGAAGATTTTGGAGATATGCCCTACATCTGAGGCTGTGTCCATACAGCATAGAGCATAAAAATGCCAGTTCAAATAACTCCTTTTGACATGTGTCATAGGCTGTTTCTGTGTTATACTATTTATGCTGATCTTCACTTTTTTCCCTCCCCAGTACTAACAGCCTGTCTTCAGGTGGCTCATTACCATCCCGCTTTCAATTAGGTTTGTATAATTACACTCCTACATTTTAACTCCTAATATAATATTTTATTATTTCAGTGCAGTAAATATGAGTGTCTATATCACAGATACAAAATTCTACATGCATTATTAATAGAAACATTTTGTTTGGTATCTCCTTTAATGTGCTTACCCTGTGTTTAAGGTTTATTTTCCTGTTAATTTTGGTTTATTGTCTATTAAACCATTATAGAAGAACTTCAAGTATCGGTTTCATTTCAGCGATTACTTAAAACCACTTATCTCTGAATACTCTGTAAGTGGGTCATTTATCATACTAGCTTCTGCAGAATTCATTCCTTTATCAACTCCTCAGACACCTCTCTAAGGAAAAGTTCAGTAAACACATAAACAAAACAAAATCTTATATGCTTTTCCAGACAGTAGGAGCTCCTACAGGCATGTGAAAATGCAGCATGTCAGAGCAGACTCGATTCTGCTGAAGAACGGAAATGAACCCACTCTAGCATGGACATGAGCTGCCAATGCGAGGAAGTGGTCAGTAAGGCTAGCTGCACCTTGTCGTGCATCTACAGATGCATCACAAGCAGGTCCAGGGAGGTGATCCTTCCCCTCTATGCAGCACTGGTCAGGCCACAGTTGGAGTACTGCATCCAGTTCTGGGCACCGCACTTCAAGAGGGATTTGGCTAACCTTGAGAGGGTCCAGAGGGGGGCCACTCGCATGGTCAGGGGGCAGCAGGCCAGGCCCTACGAAGAATCTATTCAGCCTCCATGAGAGAAGACTGAGAGGGGATCTGGTGGCCATCTATAAACTCACCAGGGGGAACCAGCGGAAAATAGGTGAGGCTGTGTTCTCCCGGGCACCACCTGGGATAACAAGGAATAACAGCCACAAATTGATTGAGAGCAGGTTCAGGCTTGGTATCAGGACACATTACTTTATGGTTAGGGCTGCCAGGCTCTGGAATGGGCCCCCAAGGGAGGTGGTGCTCTCCCCTCCCTTGGGGGTCTTCAAGAGGAGGTTGGATAGATATCTGGCTGGGGTATTATGATCTCAGCACTCGTTCCTGCCCAGGGCAAGGGGTCAGACTTGAAGGTCCCTTCTGACCCTAGAAACCTAGAAAGAAACTATAGCAGCTTTCCGCATCACATGTATCAGTGTCCCTGTGCATCTCCATGCTGAATAAAATGGTGGCAGGGTGCTTTGAAATAAAACATGTTAAATGAACTTTAGTTCAAAGCATACCTCTGCCATTTTTTCAATGTGGGGACACATGGGAACACTGATAGACACGATGTACAGGAGCTTTTAATTAGTGTGGCTTGCTAATTAAAGCTCCCAGAGCTGCATCCCAGAGCACATGTAAAAATGCCCTAAAAGAAAAGCCCCTTTCTGCTCTGGCTGCTGCTTGCAACAAGCTGTTTCCTTTGCAACTTGTATCCTTTCTCTTCTGGGAGTTCCTAAAGCTTCCAGTAATGCCCCACTTATAAGAATAAGTTCTCTTGGCAAGTCTGCCTGTTCCTCCTTAAAGGAACAGCCCACCCTGTTGTAACTCTCTATTTCACATTTGTTCTGAAGGCCCCATAAGATTATATTATGTTTTGTTAAGAACAATACTGGATGTTTCCGATACTGTACTAATATATTTATTGGGACAGGAGGAGGAAAATTTTCCAGGGAGAAACTTTTTCCTCAGTTAGAATTAAAATTGTACAGTAGCAAACTCTAAATTTATTCTTGGTATATGCAGACTTATTGTTGCTACTACTATGTTCTTTATGTCTGATGTCAGGGAGGGTATGACAGGGCATGGATTACACCAGATATGCCCCGTACATGTTATTTCCTTCTAAAGCATCTATTACTTGCCACTACCAAAGATAGGATACTAAGTTAGATGGACCACTGGTCTACCCTAGTATGGGATTTCTTATGTTCTTATGTTTTTAATAACGTGGTTGTTTTTTTAAAACAGTGTAAGTTAAAAATAAAGCAAAGCTGGAAATTGAAAATGTCTTGCTTAACAAGGCAGTAAAAAAGTGCAAATCACAAATCATAAAGTCATCTTATAAACTGTGGAAGTGCAACACTGTGGTTTGTAAATATTAAAATTATATGTAACTTGAGATACTCTCATGGTTAAATGATGGCTGTACATACCCTAAAGAACCATAACTTCTAGTATGGCAATAGTCTTTGAGATACTGGAGTCCCACTGAGGTCTGGGAGAGTGGCAGCCATGCTGAGCAAGAACAATTTGTTACTTTCTTTTAAGATACCTATACCAGATTCTCAAACACTAAGCAAGATTGTAAATTTTGCCCTTTTTCAGGCTACTTTACACTTCAAAGTGGTGTAGACAATTACTCTGTGTTCTAGTATCTACTCCATAAATCTTTGTTTCTTTTCTAAGATTTCTTGTAATCTATTATGGAATTTTAAAGGTCATATCAACAGATCTCCTTCACGAGGCACAGCAGATAGCAGACCCCCATTACCAGTTCCCAACAGACAGATGGCCCGGTCCCAGAACACAGAGGAAAATGAGGTATAAAATGTCATAAATATTAATCCAAATTGTTTTGAACAGCAAAAGAACTAATTTTGTAAGACATCCTTTTTTCTAAATTAGTTTTCAGAAATAATTTGATGGTATACACCATGGAATTTACTTTCAGTTTCTCTTACAATGTCAAAATGTTTTTGCTTTCTTAATACATAGAAAAGAACAGGAAAATACACAAAGATAGATTGCTTCCTGTTTTGCAAAGTTGCCCTAAGTATTCTAAAATCCTTTGGATTAAGTTCTCCTTTAACAAAAAAGGCATGTAAAGCCAAGAGAAGAATAATCATTCTCTCTGAGAATAATTGTGCTCTACAGTTCTTTGAAGATTATCTGCCTTTAGCAATCAATTTTTTATTATTTTTGACAGCTCACTTAGAATAAGTCTGTGTGAATACCTTTAGGATAGGAGATTCACATTAAGTTACAGCTCTAGTCTAAACTGCTGGTAGAAAATGGAAACATTTTTGCCTGGTTGGCATACAGACAACAAATGTTACAGAAATATAGTATTCAACAAAAAACATTTTAGAGCCCATGATGTTTCCCTAGTTTCCATGCCAGCAATGTGTCAAGGTACGCAATCACCTTGTGGAGTGTGGGTATTGAAGTGATCAGTGAGTTTAAAACCCAAGAATGTTGCAATATTATCATCCTTGCATCTTAAATGTTCAGATATTCAGTAAATACATCCAGAATTTTTCTTTATTCGATGAATGTTCTTGTCTGTTTATTTGTATAAATTTGTAACCTCACATAAATTAATTCACTGATGACCAACTTTTTGTACTCTGCTGTACTCCCCCGCATCTCCAAAAAATTTAGGACTTGCTGAATGAAGAATGGTATGTTGCTTACATCAGCCGAGCAGAAGCAGAAGGAGCTCTTCGGAAGATAAACAAGGTATCCATAAACAAAAATGGAAACACTTTAACACTTGTTTAAAGGGCAAAGTTTTATTTCCCTGAATGCAAGGGGATCATACCCCAGATTTTCTTCAGACTACTATTAGTATACGTGAAAACTGCATAAATGGATATGTCATCACAACACCCTGTCCTTTGATCCTCTATTTTTGCATTTAGACAAAAGGATAAATTTGCAGCAGGAAAAGAAAATAATGTGAATTTAATGTATTAGTACATTATCTACCCACTAAGATGCTGATTAACATAACCTACATGCTGGGATGATATTTTTGGTACATAGTAACAAATCCTGAGCTCCTGTCCTTTTCAGATAATTTAGGTCCAAATTCTGTTTTACTTATTAGGCACCTAGGGCATTTATACACTTGCTCTGGGATAGCGGGGGAGGCACTTTAATTAGCACTGATCCGAGAACCACACTAATTAAAAGTGCCTGGAGCATCACATGTTTCAGCATCTCCACCCTGAAAAATGGCAGTGGGGCACTCCTCAAACAAGCTTTAGTTTAAAGTGCCCTGCTGCCATTTTTCAGCGCAGGGACACTGATACACGTGACATTGGAGGCTGCTAGAGCAGGGCTAATTTCCATGCTCCAGCAGTAATTGAGTCTGCTCCAACACACTGGAATTACACCATATTGGAGCAGGATCTCTGCACATTTATAGGAGTCCCTAAAATGGCCCTTTCCCCCATAAGGGAATACATTTATCCCCCATACACATACCACAAAGACAGGCATGTAACTTCATCACCTGGCTGGAGAGGTAGCCTATGACTATAAAGGAGACATTGAGTTCTTATTTAATGACCATTGTTGACACAAGGGAAATATGAAGATGATACTCTGGCTCAAACAGCTTGTAGTGCACCCAGTGCTGTGGCAGTAATGTTACCCCTCCCTACTGCCATCTGGATCCCCACCCAGATGTCCTTTCTTCCCTCTTAAGGTTCTGCCCTGTTATCTCACCTGCCATGCCCTAGGTTCCCAGCCCCCACCTCCAATCTCACCCCTTATGGGCTCTGGGCCCCTCATCCACTGGTCTTGCCCCATGCATACTCTGGGCCCCTCAGCTACAATTACACCCTTGTGGGTTCTATGCTCCTTGGCCTTTGGTCTCACCTTTGTGGGCTCTGGGCTCTTCAGCCCCTAATTTCACCTCACGCTGGCTCTGGGCACCTCAGCCACTAGAATTGCCCTTGCAGGTTCTGAGTTTGCACTCCAGTCCTTGCTGCTGAATATCTCAGTCTTCCGACAAACAGCTGTACTCCTAAAGTGATTGAGCTTCTGCCCAGATGCAGCCCACTGTGTCCCAGACCATGAAAGGGCTATGAGCTGGGTGCCCCTGCAGCACTCCTGTGACCTTCAATTCACCCCTTACAGCCACATCAGGTCCTCAGGTTTAAATGCAAATGGAAAAAAAAATGAGTGTCTGCTTTCAAAATAAGAGGCTTCCCTCCCAGGGTTAATCACAAATTGTGGTAACACTACAACACAGGCTTAAAGCTTGTTGCTTGGTGGTGCAGAGTTTCTTCCTGGCTCCTCTGCAGTCTGGAGTCCTTCCTCCGTGAGCAGTCCCAGCCTGACTCTTTCCTGAAGCTCTGCCTTCTGCAGCCCATATAGCCAGACCGCCTTCTTTGGCTCAGGCCTTGGACTTAGCTGCTACTCCCTGGGTCACCTAACTCTCCACTTCTGCCCCAGGCCTATCAGTCACTGCCTGCACCTAGGATGGTGGCCATTTTGTTCAGGGGCCATTTGCCATTGTCTAAGGGGCTGGGGCCAGTCAGCTAAACTTCGCCTCCCTCTCACCTTCAGTAAAAGTGAAGGGGCCCCATTACACAGGTCTAATGTGAAAAAGATTCCATCCATATGCTGGAGGAGAAATCATCACATTCATACCACAAAGGTGAATATTAAAATAAAATACATTTTTATGCTACTTAGAAATAGGTCACAAGTAAAAAAACAATGGTTTGCACCTATAAAGGATGAACTCCTGGCCTAACTGAAGCAAGTTGAGGTTTTTCTATTTTTGCCACTGAAACAATACTCTCACCCCTACTAACAGGCAGTCTCTCATGCCATTACTATTATTCTTCCCTAGCTTTTGACACAGGACCTTTTAGAAATCAGATTGCAAGGCTTAGTTAGAGTTTTGTTTGTTCTTTAGAGAAGTGGTCTAAAAAAAATTCTTCAAAACCCCTAGTTGAAATTACTCTTTCCAAAAATGTATATTTGAACATGCAAACACATTTGAAAGCATATGCAACTTGTATGTTGGTCAAAAATAGAAATCTTTTTCATGTGTATTCTTTTAGGATGGAACTTTCTTGGTGAGAGACAGCTCTGGAAGAAACAGTACACACCCATATGTACTAATGGTACTATACAGAGGCAAAGTGTACAACATTCAGATTCGTTACCAGGAGCATGAGCAAATTTATATGTTAGGAACTGGATTGAAAGGAAGAGAGGTATAGTATGTTTCTTGGCATCACTGCATTCCCTTTACCTAGCTTCCAGTCTATATCTTCTCAGAATGGTAGGCAGCTTCTCCCCATAGCAGTTCTCTCTCATTCTAGTTTCTGCTTTGGAGATACAGATACAAGCTGGTATAACTGAGTGACCCAAAATCTAGAAATAAACAGATGGCAATATATCCCTATTACAACTTAGCTGATTAGGTGTAGTTACTGGTTAGAAGTGTTCTGTTTCCCCTGAGGTATCAGGTATGGGACAGCTACGTCTAGAAGCAAAAAGCTGAAACGGTGCTGGATGATGTAGTGGCCTGGTCCAGCAAAGCAACTTGTAAAACTTAGAAGAAAGCATTCATAGTCTAAACCAGTGGTTCTCAGCCTATTCGTCCTAGTGGGCCATGCTTGCAGCTCTCAGTGTATTATGTGGGCTGCACCCACACAACTTACTTCCTGTGTATCCATTTAAAAATGTTTAACAGGAAGTCATATGGGCCAAGGCAGCATGCTGATTGGGCAGCATGTGGCCTGTGGTCCGTGGGTTGAGAGCCACTGGTCTAAATAATTACTTTTGGTTTAGATTTCTCAGTTGTAAATATTGTGATAACATTTTTCATCCCCTTCCTCTTGTTTTTTAATCCTCAGGATTTTTCTTCTGTAGCTGATATAATTCAATACTTCCAAAAAACACCCCTTCTGCTGATTGATGGAAAAGATAGAGGTTCAAGAAACCAATGCATGTTAACATATGCTGCAGGACATGCTTAGAAGGAAGCTTAATGAAAGTCATGTTCAGGATCAGCTGCCCACAGGAACATGCAGACCTCAAGAATTTCTATTCAATGAACTAAAATGATGAAGAAATAATTAAAATTACTTTTGATTTAATGAAAAAGAAGATTTTCATTTTAAGATATATTTTAAAACCAATTTGCAAAGTACTTTTTTACTACAACCTATTTATTACTTCCCACTGTTCCTATACATACATATGTTTATGTGACAGATGCTACATCCAACATGAACATGTTGTAGATATAAAATGGTTTCCACATCAAATTACAGAATCTCATGCAATTTACATTGTAACACAAACTTAGGAAGAAAACTAAACTATTGTTCATGTCAGTGACATGATATGTGCCACAGGTTTAGGTTCATGTCGGGTTTATGGTACTCATTACATTAACCTTAAAAATGAAATCAGGTTTGTTTATGCAGTCCGCAATAGCTGTACAGCACAGTGTCAGTGTTTCCTACTTGTTATTATTACTGAAAGATTGTATTGTTTACTTGCATGTATTTTATGGAAATTGATATACGTTAGACTTGTCTTGTATAAATTAAATAGTTGTTAATAAAAATCTCATTCTTCTCAATCCATTTTCAATAGAGACCTCATTATAAACTTACACTTACAATAATAGCAAAAACCTCAAGGAGTATCTGGGTGCCTAACTCCTGTTAATTTCAGGAGGTGATAGGCCTATCGTGATCTGGGTCTATGTGACTTGTGTGTTACCATGTCATGCCTCTCCCACCTTTACACGATTTAAAGATGCTTTTTATCCCCATGAGCCTAATTCTTCCAACAATGGATGTTAATACCATTTAAAATATTACCACCCTTCCCTTCAAAGAACAGGTTTTGTAAATAGCAAGAACAGACTCTCCTTAGCTGGTATCAGACCTCTAACACTGAGTCGGTTTCCCTGCTGAAGAATTTGAGAGCTCTAGGCTCTTGAGCCTAACCAATAAACACCCTTTCCAAAATGTATTAACAGACTGAACATAAGAACAAAAGCAAACATAGAGCAGCCACTACCAGGTCTTCTGTTAAAAAAGAAATGAACTCACAGGGGTTCAGTCATCTCCTATATACCCTTGACTTAAGTCTGAAAAAGATAGACTTTCTCTCAACATCTACAGAAACCTCTGAACAAATATTAATATCACCCTTTAATACCAATCCACAATAACCTGTACAAGGTACCCTATTCTAGAAACATCAGGACCTCCTCATTTTATCTTCAGGGGTTTTGTCCCTCAGGATAGATGGCTTCAACTGTACTGCTGGGGTCCATTCTTCTGGATCAGAAAGAGGTAGCTGCTGCCAAAGAAGTGGCCAGGCAGGTAGCTTAACTCTTCCCTGCCTGCTTCCTGGGACAGACAGTGCAGCCAGCCACAGGTAATCAGCGTATGCTCTTCTGTAGACCTGTGCAACTTGGATTCCCCTGGTTCTAGTTCCCATTTTCCAATTGGGAAAGAATGAACTAGATGGTAGTTATGAATCTGGATCATTTCCTGTTTAGGCCTGATTTAAATCATTTATAAGATATGAAATGCTTTATAACAATATACAATGTCCTGACACATTTAGTTTTTAGTTACTTTATTTACAATGAAGAAAATACAAAACCTATGAACCAATTATTTATCTTTTTATTATTTTAATTAAAGCTGTCTATCAGTAAAAATGTCTCAAAACAGTACAATATTCATGCATTTTGCTCTTCTACTTTTCTACTTTAGATTATGACGTTTTTAACTCATTAAAAAAAGAGAGCAGAAAACCAGGTTGTAATTTAAGAGCTCAAATAGAAGAACTGTTAATGGAAGAAGATACATGAAAGTGGACAGAATTATTGAATTTTTTAAAATCTGTGTTCTTTTCCTCAACTTCTCTTAATACTTTTGTCTTTACAGGATGACTGAAATTGAAAGTCAGGTCACAGAGTAACAGCTGGGCTTCCACTGTAAGATAAAAGTCAATCTTCAAGTATGAATTGGTTTTATATAGAAATTTTACTGCAAAGATGTTTTATATATACATAATTCAATTGTTACATAACTTGGAAAAAAAGAGCAGCTTTGGTACAAGGCAGGACAATAAAGTTTGGTACCAGTGTGTTACCATACAAATCTTCAATTGGGAGACTAAAAACATATTTGTAGAGAAATTATAACAGGTATTTCCATGTTTGGCGAAGATAATCCTATTTTTATGTATCATAAATACTGTTTCTTTAATTTTTCACTAAACAGGATTATTTTTTTTATTAGGAAGAAGAAATAACTTTACAACAAAATAGCATGAACCTATTTTTTTTTTTTACAATGAACTCAGAATTACCATTTAGCTTCTTCAGCTCACAGGACATTTTATCAATGCTTTTAATTGCAGCTTCAAGGCTAAATTCTTGGTCAGCAACATTCTTAAATCTCTGTAAGAAAATACAAATCAAAACAGAAATGGTATTATTCACGTGTGATTTTTAGGCATTAATAGCTCTGTTGGTCAACATTTTTTCATTCAAAAAATTTAAATGGTATTCTTAAAACCTAGATTTATACACACATTTTGATTTTTCCACTTTGTAAACACTGAAAATTTGGATTTTTTTCTTTCCCACCCAGTAACTGTTTTCTATTCCCTTTGCTTCATACAGGATGCATCTACATGTGTGCTTTACTGAAGAGCTGACTAATTAGTTCCACAGTAAAGCATCACTGTCTACACACATGCCCATATTAGGGTGCAGTAAATTAATTAACTTTGCTACAGGATAGTACTATCCAGGACAAGTACTATCCTATAGTGGAGTAGTTACATACACTGAAACACACATGTAGATGGTGATTGGGGCTGGCTGTGGCCTGAGGGTGCTACAGTCTGTGGGCTGCCTGCCAGCTAGCTCCCTGGTATAGCAACCTTGTGCCACAGCCAGCCCCTCCAGAGCAGTTACAGGCTGGCAGGCTTACCCTGCAGATCCCCTGCCAGCCAGGGCTGTTCCACCTCAGCAAAATGTGCCGCAATCCCGAGAAAACTGCACTGGAGTTTATTCCTACGTGCTAATTGCATGTGTAGATGCACTCACGGGTAATAACTCCTTGCCTAATATCCTACTACTTATTTATAGTAACCAGAATTTATTTCCCCTTTAATTTTTTTTTCAAAATGAAAATTCAGAAATGAGAATATAACCATTTTGAAAGCTAGCAGTAAATTGAAACTTTCTCTGTGTATAGCATAGTAGTATTACAAAGGACTGTGCTTTGTTAAAAACAGAACGAGTGAAAGAGAAAGATTCGTTTCCACAAATATTATACACAAAATTTTGTATTTATCAAATTTTTGGTCAACTCTAAAATTATATATATGACATCTGAATTTAAATTCTAAATCTCAAATTTCAGTAATTAATCTGGAAAAGTTCTATTTCTACATATGCTAGTGGTTGCAAGAATAAAAATGAACATGCCTTTATCACAGATGCTTCATCCAGCTCTCTTTGCCCTTCAATTTGGGGTTTGTCACTATGCATGTCATTACTTGGGGTTAAAGGAAATCCTAAATGTGGGGAAAAAAAGTTTGTTACCTACTCACCCAGCCTTACATTATAAACAAAAATAAGATTTGGATTTAAGATTTAAGGCTTAAGAACTTATATTGCCTTTTTTGCCATTCATGTTATTAAAAGGGTTGGGCTGATGAATTGTACTTCTGTTAATCTAATTTTGTATTATATAAAGCTACATATTTCTATTAGCTAATATGCTTCATTTAGCCTATTAGGAGTTAAACTCTTAACTATAAACTACTGAAAAGGTATATTTGCAGTAGATCTCAGCCACTTCCTCATGAGCAAAACCATTTGAATGCTTTGAATGGTTGGACCTCTATTCTTTCAACATTATAAAATGCTAATACTTTGTGCTTATATGAGAATTTTAATTTAAGATCATAAAAAAAAAATTGAAAATGTGGATATTATCATTAATTTATGGATGTGGAAAATAAGGCACAGTTTCATTTATGTAACAGGGTTATGTAAGTTGTACAAGATCATATAACTAGTCAGTGGTAAAGCGGGAAATAAAAAGGAAACCTTTTGATTTCCATTCCACTGGTCTTACCACCAGGGATCCCGGTTTTCTCTGATTTTAAAAAATCCCCAATTTCCAGTTTAAAAAAAGTAACCCCAAATTCAACTTTTTTACTTGATTTAAATGAATCACACTTATATATATATATATTGTGTGTGTGTGTGCGTGTGTGTGTATACACACACACAATATATATATTAGAGTGATTCATTTAAATCAAGTAAAAAAGTTGAATGTGAATTTGGGGTTCCTTTTTTTAAACCGGAAATTGGGGATTTTTTAAAATCAGAGCTAACCAGGATCCCTGCTTATCACTAGACCATGTTCCCTCTCTTCTCCCTCTACCATCACCATGAAAAAAAAAATTCTGTGATTCTGTTGAGGATAAAGACCCCATTTTAGTGTTCATGAGGTGCTTATATACTTCTTCTGAGAGGTCCAGAGAAAGGATTCAGTGAAAGAGTTTCATCTCAGCAGGGCAGTGGAAAGAAATTGTCCTATCTCCATTCCATCCCCCACTTTTGAAAAAATGTTTGCAGAACCAGGCAGTAGTGTGATACTGTAATATTTGCTGAGGAGAGGATATGAGCATGAACTGTCCTGAAGAAGGGAGTCCCTGATATAAATGTGAGCACTTCAGCACTGCTGGGACATTGCCAGAGGGGATGCGGAAGGGTGCTTGGGATGTCATTGAGGCTGCTTTATATAGGCAATAGCTTCGTCCCGCATTGGTAAGAAGCACAGTCATTTTCACATTCACTGGTGTGTGGAGGGAGTGAACCTTTTCCTGGTACAGATGGAGGTGCTTGGGCAGGGGAAGCAAAGTCTGGTCCACAGGCTGGATTGGGCCTGCAGCGGACTCCATTTCCCACATTACTGCGTACAGTTTCCATGAAGACCCCAGCAGCAGTGGGGCCATGACAGCGTGGAGCCAGGGTTTCCATAAAGACCAGCCCTGACAGCAGTGGCAGGGCATGCAGCTGGGCAGGAAGCTCCTCTGGGGCTGGG